TAAGACGCTGATGTACGATTTTTATTACAACCATTTGAAAGACAAGTACAAAGAGAAAATCAGGTTGATGTACACAGATACAGACAGTTTGGTACTCGTAGTGCACACGGACGACGTATACAAAGATATGATGCAGCAAAATGGGCAACAATACGACCTTTCGAATTATCTGACGGATCATCCTTTGTACGACCCAACCAATAAGAAAGTGATCGATAAATTTAAAGACGAGTTTGGAGGTAAAATAATCAAAGAAGTCGTTTGTATAAGACCTAAAATGTACTCCATTTTAACCGCTGACATCAACCTGAAAAAAGCCAAGGGTGTCACAAAATCGGTCACCTCTAAAAAATTAAAACACCAACACTATTACAACTGCATCTTAAACAAGAAATCTCATTACGAAACCATGACTCACATTAGATCGGAAAATCACATCCTTTACACCGTATCTCAAAACAAACTATCGTTGAGTCCGTTGGACACAAAGAGGTACATTTTACCGGACGGTATAAACACGCTGGCTTTTGGTCACTACAGCGGTAATTGCGTGTCCTCGGGGACGACTTGAAGCTCTTGTCTCACAAAACTCCTTTTTGAGCCGTTTTAAAGGTAATAAAGAGTAGGAGTTGTGACTTTTTTACCGTTTATCATTTTAAATTGACTTGTTCTTTTTTCCACGTTGAAGATGTCTATGCTCCAAATGGGATCCGTGGCTCTTTTCGAAGTACCCCCCTCTTGCTCACTCGGGTAATATAAATATCTAACCATAGCGCCTTGCGGTTAATTCTGCTCTTTTGTTTTAAAGGGGTTAGCCGGCGATTGTCGGACCTGTTCTAGTTTAACCGCCTCTGATGGCGCTTTAGCTATTCATCTTGTCATTTCATCGCTTATAGCCTTGATCACGCCTGGTAATCGCTCGACCCATTGCGTGTTTCTACTCTCGGGATTTAACATTTCTTGAGCGTACTGATGTCCAAACAGTCTCTCGGCTAGCGTTCGATTAAATCTTTCTACGATACCCTGCGATCGGTGGTTTCCTGGTTCACCTACGATAATCGCGACGTTTTTTGAGGCCATCCATTTTTTAAATGCGCCTTTAAATTCAGTACCAGTGTCTACTCTCAACGTTTTGGGGTAACTCAAATGAGATCTCGCGTAAATCTTGATGATAGCATCTCTGGTGGAATCCGCCGTTTTAGAAACCAAAGGTTCTGCTTCGTGGTATGGACTCGCAACGTCGACAACCGTCAAAGCATATTCATAATTCTTGCATTTTACTTTATCCCAGGGTAGGTATAGCACATCTATTTGGTGAAAGTCGTTTGGTGTTTCAAACTCTCGCAATGTACTCGTAGGCCTGGGTACATACACAGGACCCGGTAGATAAATTTGCGAAATTGCTTGTTTTTTAAGCCGATCTCTGATTACCTTTTTATTGATTTTGGTTTTTTCGTGTAAATGGTTGACGGCGCTTTCACGTCCCCAATAACCACTCGGGCTATTATACAGTTTTTGAAGTTTATCCATCATTTATTATAATAATAATTTAAAAGGCTTTATACATTAAATAGATGGCGTCAGCTGCTTTTATGATGGTTGGAGGTGCGATCATGAACGCCTTAGCTTTTTTGGGTTCAAACTTTTTATTTTCAAGTCTGAAGGATGATGGCAGCGAAGAGCGTAAGAGACACGATTTAGCGGAAGAACAACTCTCGGCCGCCAGAGATCAGTGGCAACGAGAACAAACGAAACGACTCGATTTTCTCAACGAACGTATCAGAAAGCAAAATGTTTCTAAACAAACATTTTACGACGTTGACAAAGCGTTGCGTTACTACCATGACTACAACGAAATGACCGGAGAAAACGTCGAGTTACCCCGCGAACCCAAACTCGAAGATTTTTATGAGCCTAGCGACCAACACATAGAAAAAAAAACTGGTGTTTATTGTGGGAGGAACGCTATTGGTTGGTTACTTGGCTTACAGATACCTTTAAATTTAAAACTCGTATAAATAAAATGAATGCGTATGGAAAAAAGCTCAATACCAGCAGGCTATTAAAAATACCCAGATCTATCAAGGGTGAGAGAAAAGAGGTGGTCATTACCCACAATCCCAGTAGTATATCGGCATAAGACTGTTTCCGATTGAAATACTCAGGGGTGTGAGTGACCACTGATAAAAATAGCTGAAAACAGCTGAAAAAAGGTGTAAAAATCTCCTATACTTTTGTACACAGCAAGTGAGGGGAAAAAAGCTGAAATCCACAACAAAAACTGCTGAAATGAGCTTTATAGCTGAGATTTCACACCCCTGCATACTTCTTGAATGTGGTGCTGGACTTCCTTGACGTGTTATGGACAAACTACACATGAAAACTCGATGAGATTTAAACACATGAACTTTCTTTAGTTCTATAAAATTGAAGGGTGGCATCCAATTGATTTTAAAATGAAAGGAATTCTCCCCAGTGTGGCATACCCTCATCCAGCTTGTATTTGCAAGAAAGCTCTTGTGTGTTTCACGTGGGTGCTGAGGCATCATACAACTGTTTCCGATCAACGTACATTTTTATTGTGGTGCTGGACTTCCTTGACCTGTTGTAGAAAAACTCTACCGATGAGAAATTTGATGAGATTTACACATGATCTTTAACCGATAGTATGCTTTAGTTTTACACAAGTCCTGGGTGGCATCGCAATCAGTTCGAAAACGAGAAGCATTATCCTGGCTAACAATATTAGTAATATTACCGCGTCCCACTTGGTGAAGCATTACTGCAGTTATCGTTTAGCCTTCACACAAAGACCAAGTCCATTCTTTTTACAAGTCAGCTTAACCCTAACTCCCTAGCATCTTTTACTAGGAACTGGACCAATTCCATCAAAAGCCATCAACTGTGCGTCTAATACAAAACTGTACCTGGCTGGACATAATGGAATCCACCACTGACGCACTGGTTGACATTCATGGACTTCTTTTATCACAATAGCAGTACAGAAAGCTAGACAAAATCAATCGGATACCCCTAGCAGTAAAACTGCCTCAAGTTAAGGCCATTAGGCATATTATGCTGATAAATTGCTGATTCATTACTCTTTTATATCCGGTAGGCTATGGAATGTGTGCATTTCTATGAGAAAGTTTTCGGATAGCATTTGTGCGAATTGGCCGCCAACTGCTGTCTTAAACAGCTGTAGAACTGCTAGACCGAAAATTTGGGACTCTCATATATCAATAAAGCATGATAGAGCCTAGACCCGTAAACGTTGAGCTCATCAACCCTTCCCAGCGCCAGCTGTTTGCAGGGATATTAGGCTTTGCAACCAAGTAGCTTAAAAATAGCAAAGCAACCACTCTGTTCCTCAACAAAACTGAAATTGTTGGCTAACGATCATCCACCATAGGCCTACCGATTAACAAAGCAAAAATCTCTTTATTTGTGGCAACAAACGAGGAATTCCAAAGCGTGCAGTTTTGGCATTGTAGAAAAGAATCCTGCCTAATTCTGCACAGGGGACACTTCATGAAAAATATGTGCTGTCCGGGCCATGTAACTCAAAATAAACATTTCTTTTTAGGCGGTGTATATTTTGCCGGAGACGGCAAACCTTTAGTAAACGTTAGTTTGCCGGATATGCACTGAACATGCGCAGTTACTGTTTTTTTGTACTTAAACATTTTCCGGTGACAAGTTTTAGTCTGGTTCCATGCCAAAATTATCGTTGTTACCTCGTATTCACAAGATTTCACAAGACTTTATTTCCCTTTTAAAAAAAATCCTCCAGAGCCACAAATCTGAAAAAGAAAATGTAATACTCTGCAAAAAATGTTTGAGACATGTTAAAATAATAAAAGAAGAATATTCTTATTTATTTGGGGATGAGAAAAAAAACTTTAAAATGTGGTATGGTCGGAATCGAACGCGAGTCATCCCGCTTACTAGAGCCTTTGCTTAACCATTACACCAAACGTGCTACACAACTTTTGGTGGGAATTTAATACATCTTATAATTCAGCCCTATTTTAAAGAGTACAGCGCCCTCTGTTGATATGGATTGCCGCCGGCAAACCTTTAGTAATCCGTTAGTTTGCCATCATTACCTCCGGCAAAATATCCACTATCTTCTTTTTAATAACTTAGACTTGTTGGCTTTAGGAAAATATAATTCCTAAGCTTTTCCAACATATTTCCCTTCTTTTTTTCTTCCTTTTTTTTAATGCCAATACGTTTTTCATAATTTCAAGATTATTTTCAACATCCTGTTTTGAGATTTATACAAAGGCTTATATTTACATATTTAAATAAATACATTTTATACATATTGACCTATTGAATGTAGATTCCAATGATATTTTTATTCTGACCATCCCAATCAACAGAGACAGTTTTTAAGATGTCGGATTTTAAAACTTATGATCAAAAAAATGCCCAAAACATATAAGAAATGTGTCTTTTTACTTGCACCGTACATTTTACACCATTGTAGAAACTGAAAATTCTGATCTATGAAATCTTAACTATACTGACGATATTGTGAGACCAAGAAAGGTCACCTTTTGGTCATATTCGACTTCTGCAGGCCCGGAAGCATGCATTTGTTCTTAGGCCTAGTAATTAGCTGCAAAAAGCCAATGTTTTTCGGTTTTTTGATTTTTTCCGCTGCTGGTTAAAGTTTGTGCATCAAAAGATAAGATCCCAGTGAAAGTTGTCATTTGGGGGGGAGATGCATGCCTTGCAAAATATTGCTGATATGCGAGTGCGCAGAAATAATAGGCACGCGTAGCTTTAGGAGGTCTGACGATATACGAGCGAACTCTTGTCTTGAATTGGGAAGTTGGGGTTGGTCTTTTTTTGGCAAAAAAAACTCTGAAAAAATCAATAGTTGTAACTTTAAAAAGAATCAAAATTGTCACGATGCTATATCCAACCATAATCATCACTTTAAATATATAATTAATGGTAAAATGTGGTAAAAGAACAAACTTTCCAACCTTTAGCGGGCCGGCCGAGAATCTTGTTGATCACTTGATGAGCCGTCAGATTTATTTCCTGGTGTTGGTCATTGACCTCAGTGCAATAGAGGGCGGTATTCATAAAAAGTTAGTTTTGAACTAGGCGGGGTCAAAACAGGAGGGCTTTGGGGTCCTCTGTATTGTGGTGTGGTTTGTCTCCTTCACATTATAATGTTAGCAGATCAAAACAAGCGTCAGAAGTCCAACGTTTCACATCCCTTTACAAATATTTGCTTGCAAAATGAAAGGAAAATGTCTTCATATTAATAATTTGTATACCTCTCATTAATTTTGGCTCCTGTTCCTAAGAGAATTGATATACATCGATGATGTGGAAGGGGGGGGGGGGGGTTAGGTCGTTAAAATAATCCTGCACATTCAGAAGTATACAGCAACAAATAAGCAACTTTTAATTTACCTTTTTCTTCAACCTAATAATTCCCCTTCTAACTTGTCGCTCCCATTGTAAATTTCACCCCAGCCATATTTAGAACTTGACACACACACAAAAACACACAGCTGTTAACAAACAAGCAATCAGTTGCAAAAGTGTCTTTATTTAACTACATTTGCATACAACAATCCCATACTTTTAAATGGGACTTATCAGATGTAAACTTAGTTCAAATATCAAAACGCATGATGCACACAACAACCTGTATTTTGACAGACATCAAGTTCATACCAGGAAAGACCATGAAACATGAAACTTGACCTTCACTCGAAACTTATCTATAAATACAAAGTAATTGTGAAGGAACAAATTTCAGTACTGTCTTTTGAGATGAGGCAAAATGACCACAGAAAATATTTCTTGAGTATTGTAGAAAGGAAGTAACAAACAATCTTTAGTAAAAAAAAAAAAACACTTTAATACTGTCAAACATCAGAATCATTTGAGGTATCATTTTCAAACCTTTATGAATATTCAAAGGCGACAACTAAAACAAAACAGCAATGCAATCCTCATTTTGAAAGATTGGATCAAATCCATGTTGGCTGTTTCAATCACAGAAAACTCCCATGAGACAAATTTCATATAATTGTTGTGTCCTAACTTGGTGTAGCCTTTTCTCAATCAGAGATTTACATTGACAGCAACAAATGACTGAAAAAAAGAATTCTATTGATTTGCTTAAAAACCTTGTGCATCATTAACTCAAATCAGTTGCTAATAATTGTGTGTGACACAAGACAGAGGAAAAAAACCACACTAGACTATGTCAGCCTGCTATGTCAGCATTACGCTAATGATGCGGGCATTTAGTGCATAATAAAGGCAACATTCATCTGGCAATAACAAACATCTGACCCGCAGTAAACACTATACAATGTATATCATGCAATATGTGATTCTGGATATTAAAAAGATAACAAATCTGAGTTGTACTGGATCCAATGATGGCAAGTTGCATGATTCTTATGACTTGGTACAAAAGCAAGGCAAGCTGGCTGCTATAAAATGTACAAAATCATTGATACAAAATAGAAGTTATAAAAATAGAAGTTATGAAAAAAGAAATATCTGGCTCACTTTGCCCAGTCTTCAGACAAACAAAATAAATATTTGCAGTATTTACAATTATAACAATTGTTTGTGATAATGTTTGTGATTTGATTTACAAAACCAAAGCAATTTCAAACGTGTAATCAAGCTATAACCACTACAGTTGTAACTTTGTTTTGTTTGAAAACAATAATAAAAGCCCAACATTTCAGATTCTGGCAGGATCTTTCAAACAGCCAAAAATGAGCGCGGTTCAGAAACAAACAAGTAGGGGAGGCACAAGCATGCAAGGATGGGAGAACACAAGGATGATGGGGTAGGGGGCTGTGATGGAAGGACTAAATGAGTGTGCAGACTACCGTAGGTGAAGATCAAAGGGGCTAGGGGATGGGACAAGGGGATGCACATAATTTTTGTTTGCATTTGAGAAAGACCCTGCTAGGATTGAAAAGTCAGGCCATCTAACTTTATTTCTTTTATTTATGCATTGCATAATTTCTTTACCCAGGGTATTATATATGCCCAAACAGTTAAAAACTAGTTTTCATTGGGGCCCTGCATACATTTCAAATTATTAAATAATGTTAAGGAAAGTCAAACTCATAAGGAAAAGTGCATTTGGAGAAACAGACGGCGAACATTAATACTTACGAATACAATTATTCAAGTATTACAGAAATTTAGTGAGTTGTATATCAATCCAGTCAGTAAGCAATTTGCAGCAATCATATGTTCATTTAATAACTGATACAAAATGTTTAAAAAATGGCAATTGCAGCTACATATTTACAAACAATGTATCATGTAATGTACAATTATTATAGTTAATGAGAATGGCTGGTTGTATTTCTACATGTACATGTTATCCCCAATCATCATACCGTAGAGTAATGACCACACTACATGTAATTACAACTGTTACATCTGTCACAGTCAAGTTACTGGAATACAGAGATAAGGATCCTATTATTCACAGACTACAGATAGTTTTTGCAAATATCTCCCTCTCTGAAAAATATCCTGGGTAACTAGCATTTGAACAAATTTCAACATTGTCAGTAGTGCCCCTTGGTACACTGTGCAAGGTGCAGTTAAACTATCCAATTCAGAAATCATTTGCTTGAGCAGATCTTAAGTGTTTTCGCAGAATTTGAAAATGAGACTCACAAAATGTCACCGCTAACCAGCACTTTGTGCTGGATATTTCCCCATCAATGTGGGAAGGTCCAAATTTGACTGTTAATGATTAATCTGAGCAGACAGTTCAAGTCAGTTGATGCAGCCAAGGGTTCAAATCTGACAAGGCCAAGGGACTTTCTGTATGGGCCGTGGAGACATTAAGGGGACAAAGGAATGTTGACTTCCAGTTGATAAGGGTGATTGAATTGGCTTGGAGTCAGTACAAGATCTTCAAATGTATGAGAGGTAGTAAAGGAAAGAAACACAGCAGCAGAAACAGAGAGACACATGAGGAGCTGATAGGCAGAATGTGTTCAGACAGAGGGTGGTAGATGACTGGAACTCACTCCTCCTGGGAAACACAAATCATCATAAACATGACAACGGGACTCGCTTTCGCAAGGAAAACACAAGGCCAAGGGACTTTCTGTATGGGCCGGGGGGGGGGGGGGACTTACTGTATGGACCAGGGAGACATTAAGGGGACAAAGGAATGTTGACTTTCAGTTGATAAGGGTGATTGAATTGGCTTGGAGTAAGTACAAGATCTTCAAATGTATAAGAGGTAGCACAGGAAAGAAACATAGAAGCAGAAACAGAGAGACACATGTGGAGCTGATAGGCAGAATGTGTTCAGACAGAGGGTGGTAGATGACTGGGACTCACTCCCTTAGGAGAAACACAAACCAGCAGAGATAGACAGAGGCATGTTCAAGGAAAGATCCCCTCACAGCTGATAGGCAGAATGTGGTCAGTCAGAGGGTGGTAAATGACTGGGACTCACTCCCCCAGGGAAACACAAACCATCATAAACATGCCAAATGGGACTCACTTTCCCAAGGAAAACACAAAGTATAAAACTCAAATGAAAATGTCAATGAAAGATCCCCTCACAGCTGGTGACTTTACAACAAAATGTGTTAAGTCAGAGGGTGGTAGATGGTTGGAACTCCAGTCCCCCTCCCCCCAAGAAGAGAAACAGAAAGTGTAGGAACCACTCAGACGTGAAAGAAAACAAGCCTTCGCAAATAATCCAGACAGCTTCACAAGACAACAATCGCAGATTGCTTAACAGAATCTTACAACCAGATATTAACCATTCCAGCTTTGTAATGGGTGACAACACAGATAACACAGTTGACTGATAGAAGTGTACTGGACTTGCATGATGTTGCTGAGTCACCATGTCTTGTGTATAATGAAGAAAGGATTCAGCAATCTGACCAATTTAGGCAGAAGTCCTACATACCCATCAGTGGCACGCCTACAGTGTCTATGCTTCACGTCTTTAACTGTCAATGTGCAGCTTTAATAGGAAGATCTTTGAGAATTTCTAAATGGTTCTATAATGAAGGAGCCACAATATGTCACTGAGGAAATCTCTCTGTTAACTCAAATCACTCCCGTTACAACTTTGCTTCAAGATTTGTTCAGGTCTATACCCTCCATCCTGCCGAAAGAAGAAAAAAATTTTACCAATGAATTATTTTTGAGTAGACTCTTTCTTTAGACAAAAAAGTCTTACTTTTTGATGACAGATTCATTCAATCTGGCAAAAGTTATTATTCATACGTTAACATTTCCATTGTTTCATTGTGACTAATCCAACGCAGGGTGTGCGATATTTTTTATTAAAAAAAAAAATTACGACAATTTTATTTTATTTGAACCAGATTTTTTGTATTTGTTTAACTTTCAAAATATTGATTTCTCTAAAAATGTGACTAAATCTTCCCATGCACCCTTACACCCATAACTAAGGAGTTTACAGGTTCCTATAATACCCATCATCCACAAAACTCAATCAATTGATAAATGCTTTTGAAACAATTCTGTTGAATCAGTGGTTTAAAAAAAATCACTTGATTTCATCTACATGTAGTCTACCTCACTTGGTCAATGGTACATTAATACTGAAGACACGTTAAAGGTGCATGGCTTGATTGATACAGCTGAGATATGTTGTTTGTGGATATATATGAAAAACATGATTCATGGTATTGTACAAGATATACAAAAAAATATACAGGGTGAGTCAAAAAAAGTGGAACCCAAACTCTTAAAATTATATTTCATATTTAAAAAAATATGAAGCACCAAAAATGATAATGAATGGAAAGCCAATTTCATAAGCTACTTTTAGATGAAAAAATAATGAAATTGCTCAATCCTTTCAAAGAATGTCACTATTTTAACGCAATGACCGTCAAACCTGTTTCGGCAAAAACAAAAGCAATTCGTGTATTCTTACTGCTTGGAACAACAAAGAAAATGACTCGCAATACTTGTTTCAACAACTGTCAACAACTGTAATACACAATATCTTCATTAAGAACCCTGGTTAGGCAAATGATTTACAAAATCCAATAAAAAGAATATTTTTAAC